CCGTCCCCTTCTTCTTTTGCCCTCAATCTTTCCCAGCACGAGGCTCTTCTCCAGTGAGTCCTTCCTCCTCATTAGGTGGCCAAAGGATTTGAGGATCTGGCCTTCTAAAGAGCAGTCAGGGTTGATCTCCTTTAGGACTGACCAGTTGGATCGCCTGGCAGTCCAAGGGACTCGCAGGAGTCTTCTCCAGCACCAGAGTTCAAAGGCCTCAATTCCTTGGCGCTCAGCCTTCCTTATGGTCCAACTTTCACAATCATCCATTGCAACTGGGAAAACCAGAGCCTTGATTATACATACTTTTGTTGGTGGGGTGTTTTGTTCAGCTGGTAGCTAGATCCAATTCTACTGAACAACCAACACCTCAGAGCCGAGGTGGCGCAGTGGTTAGGGTGCAGTACTGCAGGCCACTTCAGCTGACTGTTATCAGATTGGTATTGAAATGCCTGCAAGACAAGCACCAAACTCAGAGAGCACCAAGCTCCCCATAGGATGGATTTTTTAAAAAAACAACAACCATGAATTCTCCACTGCCCATAATTACTCACAGCAGCAGATGCTTTAGCTCCTGGACAGCACTTCCCCTGCAGGGTTATGGGAATGATGGTACATAGATATCCAGATTCCATTGCTGCCCACGTTCCACCAAGAGTGGCTCTGTTGTGGCCGGTCAGCCTTCCGCTCCTCCAGCAGCCAAATTGGATGAGGGGGGGAGGCGTGGGAGTCAGGGTCAGCATCAAGGCAACCTGAGAGCTCCGAGGGGGAAGAGGGAATGGAGCGGATGGAGAGTCAACAGCCCCAAGGTCTGGAGGTGGTTGATGAAGGAGAGGAGGAACTGGGTCCAGTACCTGACACACAGATGCATAGAAGGCAGAGGAGAGGAGAGCAGTGGAAATCTATGAGCCGGTCCTTGGAACAGAAGATCCACCGCTGCTAGCGAAGCCCCGCCCTAGCTCTGGGGATAAAAGACAGCGGGCGGAGATGAATAGATGTGACAGACAACTATTCATTGCCCTGCCAGACAATAGCCTGCAGTGAAAGAGAAAGGTTTTGCCCGGGCTGCTGGTGCATCTAATAAATTGTATTGTATTGCATTTATTTGTCTTGTATGCCGTTGTCATTGCTTCAACTACTAGGATTTGTCATGTTTGGGGAGCTGGGTCAGAAGAGGCTCTTGATGGATGGTGTCCACTATTTCCACCTGTGCAATCAAGTGAGATGTGAGATGCTCCTTTTGAAGAGTTTATTTCATCTTTACATGCGGTGTTAAAAACCCAAAGGACGCCTTTTATTTACACATCCACAGTACAAGTTTACAAGATATCTATACACGTTAACGTACTCTATAAGCTTGTATAGAGCAGTTTTACTTTTCTTTTCTTTTTATTTTTCCCGGGTTACTGTTTTGTCCTTTCTTGTTTTTAAATCTGTACCATTTAAAAAAAGATACAATCTGCATTTACCTTTGCACAAACGGATAAAGCATGTGTTTATTTGTTTAAGGAAAAAAAAAAACAGCCGACACAAATTATAAATTAACAGAATAGAGACTATGTCGAATGTTAAAGGGTTGGTTTTTTTCCCCAACAGAAATACGGAGATGATTCACGATACCCACAAACGAAGGCAGCACAATGTTACAGAAAAGTTATTCGGGTTCACATAACATTTATGTCTCAGTTTTACACAAGTATGTATTACTCATTAATCATCGTAAAGTGACGTCAATTACATTTTTGCCATTTGATTTCTTTTCCTTTAAAAAATAAAATAAAAGGTATTAGTTGCAAGACCGAAGATTTTTTTTTTATTTTTTATTTTTAGAAAAATTACTTGTGACATGTTGGGAGAACCAGTGATGCTCAACATACAGATTGGAAAAGGAGTTGAATTGTCTAGATGAAAGAACAGTCCCTTTCGAAAACTTTCTTTTTTTTTAACTTAGGACAGAAACGGATGTTTTGCATTTGACCTGTAAACTTTTAAGAGATTGGTTACAAGAGACTTCAGCAACCAAATGGTGGGACATCCTACACAAACCAAAGACCCTCATCTGAGTTGACAATCAGCCTGGCGCAACTTTGGGTGGCTTGCAGAACACTATTCAGCCAGTTCTGAAGAACTGGTAGTGGAAATTTTGAGTAGGTCCAAGAAACGGGAAATAGGCTGGCCCCGCCCCTGGCTGCCTCACAACTGATCTTCTTTTGTTGCCCTGAACAGGAGAACGGAGCTGGAAAGCAGGTTAGTGGTGTGGGAAAGGAATGGGGGATTTTGCAGTGACCTTCCCCCAGGAGTGGGGAGGGAACGGGGATTTTGCAGTGTCCTTCCCCCTACCACGCCCACCAAGCCACGCCCACAGAAACCAGTAGTAAACATTTTTGAATCCCACCACTGGTGGCTTGTATTATCCTGCAAATCTTATATGATTTCCCATTGTTGCCGCCTGATTCTTAAGCGATTCAGGGTTGAATGTTTAGCACAGCGCGGTTTCTTGGCTTATAGATTCCTTTTCCATGGATAATGAATGGTTCCGCAGAAAATAGGAATCCCTTCCTTCTCTGCGTTTTCCCCCCCCCTTTCATGTGTTTTGGACACTGCAGAGAGAGAACTTAAAAGCACTCGGGGGTTTACAATGTACTATTACAGAGAACACTTGACAGGGTTTTTAGTAGTGAGCGATTTAGGAAGAAAAAAAAATTCATTCTTGTGAATAAGGCACAAAATGCACAGATCTGAGTAAAGTCACACACAGAATATTTACAATAGTGTTGTTGTTGGCATGGCTTCAAAGAAACCACAAGCTAAAAAGATGGGCTGTGCTTCTGTTTGAATTTTGATGGATGGATCCTGCTAAGACATTGGGGGTGGCGAATGGCTGTATTATGGGGATAATGTCACATTTATCCTCCCTCACTTCAGAACGTAGCATCTATTGGGTGTGTTCACATAACATCCGAAGCCAACATCTGTTACAACAGTGAGAACATTGCTTGAGCCCTCTGGTTCTTACCCACAAGTGTTGGAAGGGTACGGTTTCAAAACTTGGGAGGAAACCACAAAGCTTCATACAGAAGTAGACAACTGGATGTTACTAACTACAACTTCTAGTATCCTTCACCATTCACTGTTGGCAAGCTTCCTACAGGCATTGGGACTTGTGGTTTAGCAATACCCTTCCTCAACCTTGTGTCCTCAAGATGTGTGGTACTCACAACTCCCAGCACGCTAAGTCAATCCAGGTTGGCTTAACGTAAGACTTGCAGTCCCAACTTATCTGGAGGAGCAGAGTAGGGCATGTCAGCTTAAGTGTTGTAGGAACATACTCAATAAGTTCAACAGAGCTCTTTAAAAGTGAGAAGAGTATCTCCTTACGGTTGACGTAAAGCAGTGGTCAGAGAAGCTCAATAGCAAACATACACCGTCTGGCTTCATGTCAGACTTGACATGTTGTTGGACTCAAAAAAGACAACAATGGGGGGGGGGTTTCTCCTTGACTTCCCATGAGCTTAAGACAGATGGTGGAAGGACACTGCAGGAAGCTACAGCACATTCTGTGTGTTTGAAAAACAGAAATCTGGGGTATTTTCCTGCCTGTGGTTGTCCTCTTTTTTCCTTCGTGAAGATGATGGGTTTGAAATTTGAGGGAATGAAGAACCTCTACACTGGATGGCTTCAGCCCTTGATGTTTTGAAGGACAAGTAAATGAAGCAACATTTGGAAATCAGATCTCTAGCTTTAGAGAAGGCTGGCTTTGGGTATCTATGTTTGGCTTGCTTTGCACATTGTACCTAATTGGGTCATGTGTCTCAATCAAGACAGGTAGTCCTCAACTTACAACAGTTTGTTTAGTGACCGTTTGAAGTTACAATGGGACTGGAAAAAAGTGGCTCATGACCGTTTTTCACACTGTTGCAGCATTGATCATGTGATCAAAACTCGGACACTTGACACCTGGTGTGTATTTACGACCATTGCAGTGTCCTGGGGTCATCGGATCCACATTTGTGACCTTTTGACCAGCAAAATCAACGGGAAAGTCGGCTGGACCCAACAACCGTATCACCAAATTAACAATTGCAGTGATTTACTTAACAGCGGTGGCAAGAAATAGTTGTAAACTCTAACCACGGAGTTTGCGGTGGTGCGGTGGTTAGAGTGCAGTACTACAGGCTACTTCTGCTGACTGCTGATTACCAGCAGTTTGGCAGATCGAATTTCACCAGGCTCAAGGTTGACTCAGCCTTCCGTCCTTCCGAGGTGTGTAAAATGAGGACCCAGATTGTTGGGGGCAAATATGCTGACTCTTTAAACTGCTTAGAGGGAGCTCTAAAAGCCTGTGAAGTGGTATATAAGTCTAAGTGCTATTGCTATTGCTAAAATGGGGGCAAAACTGACGTAACAAATGTCTCGCTTAGCAACATAATTTTTGGGCACCCTTGCGGTCGTAAGTCGAGGACTACCTGTATCACCAAGCCCACTGCATGAGATCGGCAGTGCATCTTTGCAAGAGTACCAGAGTCGAAGCTTCTGGTAGATCCTCGTTCTTTCACAAATGTAAACATTTCTATCCGGACAACACAATGGGAATTGAGCCCCTCCATAGGATTCAAGGTTTCCTCGCACCCGGGCATGCAACCCTCTCTTACCCCCTTTTATCTGCGCCCTAAAATGAACTGTCATCCTTTGGAGGCAAAAATAAAAATGCTACCATTGGACCCAGAGGCTGACATTCAGCTGGCTGCTTCTTTTAACCAACAGACGTTCTCGAGACATTTTTTTCTCCCCCCCCCCCTGGATATTTGTGCAAGAGGCAAGGCAAATGCATACATAGTTAAAACGTTCACATTTTGTGGGAAGACTACACAGCGTGGCAGTCTAAAAACAACCCCCTCACTTTCATCATTATTAATTTCAAGTATTTTTTGTTTCGTTTTGTTCATGGGTCTGCTTCCTCCCTAAGTACTCTAAAACAGCTCTTTTGAAGTGGCCGTCAAGTCCCCATCCTTTTTTTTTGTGCTACGTCTCTCCTCCTCTCCCAACACACAAGAGATGCAGTGGCCAGCCCTTCCTCTCTCTTTTAACGCATCGGGCAAGCGGAGTCTTGCTGCGGGCCGGACAAAACCAGCCGATGGAGCAAAAAGAGCCTGTTTGCCCCCCAAAAAAATTCGGTCCCCCCCACAATGCCCTTCGTGACAAGCGAGTCGGAGTCTTTCTTTCCATCTGTTTTGCACCATCTTCCCCCACCCCCAAGGTCTGGATGGATTGATTAGGCAAGTTTTAGTAACTGTATTTGTTCAGTGGTCTGACTGAAGGCGTCTGTGGGGCAAAAGAAGGTTTGGGTGGCACATCTGGCTTAAGAGAGGGCATCCTCTTTATCCCTGTCCGAGGAAGCGTCCCGTTGCTAGTGTAACTGCTTTGCCTAGACAAGGAAGGCTGTAGATGGACGCTGACCGGCGTCCCTTGGATGTAGTCCATCTTTGTGCCTCCGGTCGGAGTCATATACCCTCCCCGGTTAACGCTAGGCTGCCTGGAGAGCAGCATCCCGTTTGGAGAGTTTAAGTTTTTAGGAAGAGCGGATATGGAGTGCCTCTGGGAAGAATTCTTGTGGTAGCCCCTTTGTCTTTCCAAAGAGGTCATTGGCGCTGCCGGCGCATTGGGGACGTCAACCCGTTTTGTCGGACTATTCCTCGGCAGGGTGGAAGGAGGAGAGTACAAAGACGCTTCCCGGTTGGGGACTTTGGGGGGCACCTCTGTCACGTTGCCCATGGAATCCAACATTAAAGTCTGGTGAGCCACCTGAAGGTCAGCCATGATGGCTTTGGAGTTGCTGGGGGCTTCGTTTAGATGTTTCAGGAAGTCATTCAAGGTGTTTCTGGAATCCACGGACCTCCTGTGGTCTCTTTTGCCTGAGGACTTAGTCAGTGGATGGTCCACGTTGGGCATCTTTTTGTCCACTTTGTGCGCGTTAGAATTGGAGAAGGACATGTTGTAGTCGTGGGTGGCGTTGGGAAGGACAATGGCACTGGGGATGTGTCCGTGACTTAAAGGAGAATGGGGTGGAGGACTGGAGGGGAAAAACTGAGGACTCTTCAAGGGGGCTTCTTTCCTTGAAGAGCTGAGGTTGTTCTGGGCCTTCTCCATCTGGCTCTTCATCCCTTGTAAGGTCTTCTGCTGAAGCACAGGAGTCGATTCTGGGGTCGGAAGAGCTGCCAGTTCTGGGGGTTGGGCCCTGTGGTCCACCATCAACATGGACTTCGTGTCCGCCGTCTGGGGTAGCTCTTTGCGACCTGTCAGCAAGTTGGAATAAAGTTTGGGCGAATCGATGTTCTGCTGATACTCCTTCACTGGGCTATCGAAGAGGCCATTCAGCTTGGCAAAACTCCCGCTGGAATCCGTGCAGGATTGAGCCGACTCTGCGTCTTTGTGGATCTTCCTGGATTTTCTCACAAAAACGTCTCGGTAACAGTAAACAGCCACGCCGGCAATAAACGCTCCCAGAAGGAAAGCCGCGAAGACACAGGTAATCAGGACGTTCATGTGCACCATTTGGTTGGAATCGCCCGACTGGACTTCCCACCTCACACCTATGACAAGCATACACACACAGGATGGACAGGTTAGAGAGGGTACTTTGGATGATCAAATCACGAGACAAACGTTTGCTATTTCGTGTTGCATCCCAAAGGAACCTAACCAAAACTTGCTGTCTTGAACGTTAACAGCCCTTTGAGCAGCATCAAGGAATTATATCACTCTTGACAAGGTACTGATCCACAAGGAGCAGCCCTAGTATGTTCTAAGGGCCTATATGTGTTATGTGTAACACCTGTGTCAATCCTTAAAGGTAAAGGTTCCCCTCACACATATGTGCTAGTCGTTCCTGACTCTAGCGGGTGATGCTCATCTCTGTTTCAAGGCTGAAGAGCCAGCACTGTCCGAAGACGTCTCCATGGTCATGAGGCTGGCATGACTAAACACCGAAGGCACACAGAATGCTGTTACCTTCCCACCAAAGGTGGTCCCTATTTTTCTACTTGCATTTTTACATGCTTTCGAACTGCTAGGTTGGCAGAAGCTGGGACAAATAACGGGANGGAGATATCTTTGGACAGCGCTGGCTCTTCGGCTTTGAAACAGAGATGAGCACTACCCCCTAGAGTCGGGAACGACTAGCACATATGTGCAAGGGGAACCTTTATCTTTATCTTTAATCTTGTATATTTTTTCATTAGTTTCTTTTCTTTATGTTCAGATTAATTACCATTCAACTTTGGGAGGCTTTAAAAAAATCCTGTACAATGACTGATATACTTTCTTTTGTTATACTTCAGTAAGTTTTTAAAATTACGAAAGGATCTCTGAAAATCTCCATAAAGTTTCATTAATGCTCTGCATTGTTCCTGGGTTACTAATCAATCTCTTAAACTTCAACAAACATGTGGGAGATCAAACATGTCACATTTTAATTCAGAACCAGCAATCGAGACCATACCGGAACACTTTTGATATGAATTGCTAAACAGTTCTTCTACTAAGCAACCTGATCTTTTTCTCCATCCAAAACAGTATTTGAGCATTTAATTAACTGCCACCCAGATTACTAAGAGCCCATGGGTTTAAGCCATTTGTTAAGACTTTAAGCCATCGTTTAATATGTTAATTGATATTGCAAGGGATATCTCCAGGTATCTACCTAAATACCAATTATCTGGCTCAACTTTCTTGGCAATTCAGGTTTGTTAGCAAGAATCTAATTGTACTAGTTTACTGTTGATAGAATTATACAAGGGGTGGATTTTCCCTCTTACATCGGCGTTAGATTTCAATAAGTGATCCTTAGTAGTCTGTTGCTATTCAATTAACAAGTAATAACTTCCTTAATGAAAGCAATTGGAAGGCTTATATGAATCAGGCACAGAAGTGGGAGGAAAAAAATATGTTGAGAGTACTTTTCAGATGCATCGATTTTGTTGACTTGACGAAAAGAAAATTGCAAAGAGCAACAGAGATAAGAATTAGATTTTAAATAGATGACGCCTGCTAAAAAAAAATGATACGACCCAATGCATTTTTGTCATTGTTTCTATATTTTGGTTCTGTGTTTGGATGGGATGGAAGATGTTGAGACTCTAAAAAGAGAAAGGGTGCAGGGAAAAGCAACAGAGATGATTAGCAGGCCGGAGGTGACAAAATATGATGAATGGTTGAAGGAACTGGGTATGTCTAGTCCAATGAAGAGAAGGACTAGTGGGTGACATGATAGCAGTCTTCCAATATTTGAGGGGCTGTTCCAGAGAAGAGGAGGTCAACTTATTCCCCAAAGCACCTGTGTGCAGGACAAGAAATAATGGGTGGAAGCTTATCAAGAAGACAAAGGACTAGGACTAAGAAAAAACTTCCTGGTACTGAGCACAATTAATCCATTAGAAGAGTTATTGATCAAAATGTAAAGGTATTTCATGAGTTGTCACCTCCGGCCTGCTAATCATCTCTGTTGCTTTTCCCTGCACCCTTTCTCTTTTTAGAGTCTCAACATCTTCCATCCCATCCAAACACAGAACCAAAATATAGAAACGATGACAAAAATGCATTGGG